CCCTGGTCGTAAAATCCGGTATGTGAGAATACCAGCAATGGCTCCTATAGTTGGGGCTACTAAATATATCCACAAGTGATGATCAAATTTCCATGAAACAAGTGCAGGTCCTAATGATCTTGCTGGATTCATCCAGCCACCTGAAACAGGCATGCATTTGATAATTTAATGGACTTAATTGAATAGATCTGGTGAATTCTAGCTAGAAGAATAAGATTTTAATAAATAACATTTGTGCTTAAAGTTTAATATTACCCAGAAATAGGGATGGCAACGGGGCGGGTATGAGACGGATTGGCCATTCCCACCCCCATCCCGTCGGGGTTTTTTTTTTGTTAGATTACCCCATCCCCATACCCAGTTAAAGCGGGGCGGGGCGGAGCGGGGCGGTTTATCGCCCCCATTTATTTTTTCTTTATTTTAATTTTACTTTTTACTTTTTTATGTCCTTAGTTAGTAAACGTTATTAATTTTTTACCAATTTATTAAAAACAACTTATGTTCTCTAAAAAATTGATGATAAATTTATTATTTTTGTTTAATAAAAAATTTAAATTTGAAATTAACTTTAAATGGGGTGGGTAGCGGGGCAGGGACTATGTTTATAAGTAGATGGACTCTATAAAAGATCCTAATATGCGCAACATGATACATGTATGAATGTCCAATGTACCTCGAAATCCAATATATCTGTGGTCACTAGATAAGTGTAGGCTACGAACAGTCGAACTTAAAATGACTTAAGAGACAGAATCTTACAGATTGAGGGTCATTTGACAAGGATGCAGCGAGGAAAAGAATGATGGAGGTTGCAATAAGCTCCACCCAGAATGCTGCAGTGCATCCTTGGAGTGGTTTTGTCATCACAAGCTCTGATCTAAGCCATATACTAATCTTTCAATATATGTTGCCAAAGCAGATCCCACAATTTGTGCCAATATATAGAGTGGAACCTTCAAAGGAACAAAGTTTAAATAAATTTGAAATTCGATTTCTTGACCTGCACCTTCAAATTTAACAAGTTACTTAGAAGTACCTTGGACCATGGAAATGGACCAACAGTTGCAAAAGCAATTGTGACTGCAGGATTAAAATGGGTTCCAGAAATGGCTCTTATAGAGAAAACTATGACAGTTACTGTCAATGCTTCTGTGGCTGCATATTCCATTAGGCCTACTTCCACTCCTATTAAATGCATTATTGCTATTATCGCGCAAATGCAGAACATTAGCACGAAAGTCCCCAACATCTCTGCCAATACCTGCAGATTTAGACGTTGAAAATATGGGGTTTACGAGCAAATATGGGAGTTTGTTTTGTACACAAGTACCTTACAGACTAGACTTCTATCGATGTTATGAAGCCAGTCGACGAAAGTGTTGTTTAGCATCGAATCTCCATTTTCTAGATCATTTTTGGGCTGGCTACTTGTGGCTGTACTACCTGATATGTCAGAAGATGATGAGAATTCCCTAAATGATGCTTTCATATTATGCTGCGTTTTTCCGTGTGGAATTAGAGTACGAGTTTTACAGGCCTGATGAATTGTAGTTTAAGGTTGAATCCTTCTCTCTGTTGCATTTCTATTTCTATGTACAGATAGGCATTTCATTTGAGTCTTGAGAAGGTTATAACGTTAAAGAAGTTGGGGACTGTTTGTTTCAATGCAATCCTTGTGTTTCTCGAAAGGAATGAAAAGTTACTCATACTTCTTTAATGTTAATGTAAAGAAAATAGAGTTTGACCTTTACTGTCCAACTGTTTCTCAAGTATGTAACACTTGAAAGTGTTTTTGTTTTGGGAATTTGGGGTAGGGTGGAGTTTGGAGGGGGTGCAGTTGTTACTATAATTTCTAAGCATAATCAAGAACATATATTTAGTTACTTATATCCAATAATTTTCTAATTTTTTTGTAGCTGTTTTCATATATTGGATTATGTCATTGTTGCTTTTGAGGCGATATGAAAAGCAGAAAAAAAGGAAAAAGGAACCACTATATGACATTGCCAAGCTCTTCGATGAAAAAAGTAATCAAAGCATTTTGAATGCATGTCTGCATTACTGTGTGAGGTCTAAAGGTGCTGATTTTAGTTCCACCATAACCTTCTGTTGGAAAAAATGAGGTGAATGGCTGACTTTGACATAAATTTTGAGTGGGACCGGTTTACTTATTTTGGAAGATCAATATTGATTTGTGTTCTCCTCCACGAGAACATCGAAATCATGTATTTACTTGCCAAAATGAAGTTCGGGGGAACGAAAAATTGGAGTTCAAAGTGGACAATTGGAATATGGTTTTATGTTGGATTGAAAACTAAATTTGAGTTTATCCCACATAGGAAGTTTATGAAAACAAGAACCACTTTATATATGGCTACACTTTGGAAGGGTGTAATCATGTGTAGCAAAGATGCTCTTTCCACGTGCGCATGCAGAGGGTCCAAGTCACGGACTGAAATAGGTTTCTGATCTTGAACTTGTGTGCGGGCGCGATTTGTGCATACAAATGTCGGACTGAATTGATCAAAAATTGGCTCTTTAGGAGGGCCTACGTTTTGCCGAATTTTTTGCTTTCAAGTATTCACTTAGTCCTTGACACACAGGTAAGAGGGAGCAAAACATATGGACCATTTCCCAAAAATACGACACCACTGGATCTAGTGGAGGAGCTCAAGCAAATAGCAAAATTTTTCTTTGAAGGCTGAAAAAAAGGAGTCAGTTGAGAAGGAAACGCCACCAGACTTCCCCCAAGCCTGGCTGTTCCCGTGATTTCTGTTTGCAATCCCCCGCATTCAGAAACGAGGGGAGACGAGAAAATGAATCGTGGAATGTTAACGGGTTCAATCTGGTGGTAGATTGGATTGACAAAACATCCTCAGAAATCTCGCTACTGCTGTAGGAAGTGTTGATTGCAGGATTATCCAGGGTATTATAGCAGACAGTATTGCTGCATCTCGTTTTAGGCATACGGGTGAAGCAGTCTCCACAAGCATGGGACTTGGCAATCAAAACATTGTGCCGAGCAACGCTGAGCGGACCTATATGATGAACTGTTGTATCCATTTTCCCAATCCACCCATAAGGTCTGTCCACCAAAATGAACACTCAGCTTATTAGGCACAAGAGGTGCCCTTTGCTCGTTTTGAGTAACATATTGAAGGGTTGATGGATCTTTGGTTACCGGTAGCTCAAGTGCTACTGGCCTGAAAGATTTTTTGGCTGTGGAAGGGCGGCATACGACAAGGAACAGAATGCCAGAAAAGAAGAACTCGAGGAGAACATATATAAGAATCCTGGTGGAGGTTCTTTTCCTAAAGGTTGACCTTTACATTATTAGACAAGAAGAGAAAAGAAACTGAAATCCTGTCTCGGCAACTAAAACTGTGTCTCGTCTGGTATAATGTTGATCGAGCTTACTGCATACCTAATATGTCTTAGAGATCAAAATAATGTGCGCTAACATTATATTGATGCAAGTCGGTGAGTTGAATTCTTTCAACCATGGCAAGTTGGAAATTTGAATCTGACCAAATTTTTTTTAGTATTTTTTTTAACTGTTGGACCATTTCCATGAGTTGTAAGATTTCAGAAAATTCTTTCATGTTCATCTCTTATCCCATCTGAATAAACTATTTTTTCATTTCTCCACTTGCTTGCTTGTTCCTTATCCCTTTGTCTCCAATCTGACTCACCTCATGCTCCAAACATAATCTATCCCTTATAGCTCTTATCAAGATTGCACAAGAATTATGACGTACACGTGGATACGCAGTTTTTTAAATAAGATAATGTATAAAAAATATCGTCAATCGTCCTTTCTTATTTGAAAACCTCCTTTTCAAAGTTTACTCTCGAAGAGAATTACTCTGCTTGAATATAGCTGTTAGACTCAATGAACACAGACACAAATTTAACATACTATTTTTTTAGTTTTTCTAGACAGCCATCAAAAGGGATCAGCATTGGATTAACAAAAAAGTAAAGATTACAAATAAGCAATGTAAGTTGAAGCTCACTACAAAGGGGGCCATGTCACCACTAGTGTTTCAAGTTACAAAATTGAATCCCTCTTCCGAGCTGCATTTTTTTGACAGGGTCCCCTTCTCTAGCTGCCGCGAGTAGGTGGCTCCATTCCAAGTTTTGTAACCTTGCTAGTAGTATCACGATCAAACAGTTGACGAGAAACTTGGAGACAAGGTCTCAATTTGTCAATCCAACAAACTGGATAAGAAAAAAGTCAAAATTTTATGTGTTATCTTATACGATACTGTTAAGTGTGTAGCAAACATTCCTTGCAACTCCGAGCCAATCAAGAAATCTCTCTAGGCAGTTTGAAATCAGAGCACTTTCTCTGTCCCATTAACAATGATGAAGAAATCCCAAGCATAGAGGTGCCTAGATGAAATTCCAAAACATAATCCTCCAATTGATAACCCCCAATGACAAATGGATCCCTTTGATTCAATCCTCCATCCAAGAACCCTAAACACATGACTTCATCACTAACTTGCACCATTGAATTCCTCCCATAGATCCTCCACTTCACCATCTCACTTTGCAAAATAAGATCAATAATTGGCACATTTGGCCCAATTCTTGAATTTTCAACCCCTTTTGAACCAAAACATACCCCGAATGGTGCCACGGGAGCTACCCTTGTCATGTTCAAGGAAGTGGCAGCCTTAATATAAGCATCAACGAATGTGTCATAAATTTTGCTCTCCATAGTGGTGTAAGGTGCAATTGTGCTTATTTTTGTCCCTCCAATATTTTCTTGATTCATAGACAATCTCTTACCAGAAATCTTGATGGACCTGACATTAATCTTGTACTCTTCTCCTGCCCCACCTGGCTTGGAAATCAAGGGTGTATACACCATTGATCTTGAAATCTCCCCACCCAAAAGTGACACATCAGAACTCTCAGCCAATGAAATTAAACCATCTGATGAGGATAAACACAGAGAAAATCTCCTCTGAAAAAATCCAAACGTTCTAGCACTCTGTGTTGGCAGTGAAATTCTAGTGTTTCCTAACCCTAAAACGCCTTTTGCACCATTAGCAAGGCCTTTTAGTAACAATTTTGGTGCACATGAAAAAAAGAAGTTATCAATAGAGGCCATAAAACCTGAATTCACCCCATCTTCAAACTCCATAGAAATTCTATCTTCAGCCAAATTTCCTGATGTAATCATTCTTGTAATGGGATTTTCAGATTGAAGAGTACAGCTCTTGCTGCCAAAAGACACGGTACAAGCACTGGATTTTGCCATTGAACACTCAAGTGAGCAACTTTTTATGGGATTTTGAGATTTAGACAGAGGGATAGAAGCACAATCAACCCACAGATATGGACCATTAACATCAACAACAAGCTTAACTGGGGCAAATCTTTCACCCAGGAAAACGTGAGTCACGTACTGAAGAGTTAAAGGATCTTTTGACACTGGAATAATAGCAGCTCTTGGTAATAAGGGTTCTTGAGAAACCGAGAAACTAAAGAGGAAAATAAGTGAAAAAACAAGAAAGAATTGTACAGAGCAAGCCATGGAAGAAAAAACTGTAGAGAGGTAGACAGGTAGATCTGAATGCTATTTCCTTGTGTTTGTGGCGGAGGGTAGCCGCGTTGTGGCTGAGTTTTTATAGTACAAATTCTTCGACCACTAACGTGGTCTTTTTTTAGCAATAATAATTGAACCAATATGGATAAGATCTTAGGTTTTCTTCATCGTTGCTGACTAGATTTTTATGCTTTTTGTACCGTCCCATTTAAAAAAGGTCCATCAATTTTTCAGAAATCAAAACTCATTATTATCATATTTTGGTTGATAATTGTGTTGAGAAATTGGAGACAGTGAATACTCACTTCTTACTTGATAAAAGTGTAGGCGAATAGCGATAAAAGAATTTCTTAGGTTATGCTATAATATAAACGTATTAAAGAAGAAAAAGTTTGTTGGTGGAGATTAAAATCGAATTTTCAGTA